TCTGTCTGTCTGTCTATCTTACCTGTCTGCCTGTTTTACCTGTCTGTCTGTTTTACCTGTCTGTCTGTCTTTCTGTCTTACCTGTCTGACTGTCTGTTTTACCTGTCTGTCTGGCTATCTGTCTGTCTGTCTATCTTACCTGTCTGCCTGTTTTACCTGTCTGTCTGACTGTCCGTCTGTCTGTCTATCTTACCTGTCTGACTGTCTGTTTTACCTGTCTGTCTGGCTGTCCGTCTGTCTGTCTGTCTGTCTGTCTATCTTACCTGTCTGCCTGTTTTACCTGTCTGTCTGTTTTACCTGTCTGTCTGGCTGTCCGTCTGTCTGTCTGTCTGTCTGTCTATCTTACCTGTCTGCCTGTTTTACCTGTCTGTCTGTTTTACCTGTCTGTCTGGCTGTCCGTCTGTCTGTCTGTCTGTCTGTCTATCTTACCTGTCTGCCTGTTTTACCTGTCTGTCTGTTTTACCTGTCTGTCTGGCTGTCCGTCTGTCTGTCTGTCTGTCTGTCTATCTTACCTGTCTGCCTGTTTTACCTGTCTGTCTGTTTTACCTGTCTGTCTGGCTGTCCCGTCTGTCTATCTTACCTGCCTGCCTGTTTTACCTGTCTGTCTGTTTTACCTGTCTGTCTGAATGTCCGTCTGTCTTTCTGTCTGACTGTCCGTCTGTCTGTCTATCTTACCTGTCTGTCTGTTTTACCTGTCCGTCTGTCTGTCCATCTATCTGTCTGTCTATCTGTCTCTGTTTGTCTTTCTGACTGTCCGTCTGTCTATCTTACCTGTCTATCTGTCTGTTTTACCTGTCTGTCCAACTGTCCGTTTGTCTGTCCGTCTGTCTGTCCGTCTATCTATCTCTGTCTATCTGTTCGTCTGTCTTTCTGACTGCCTGTCTGTCTGTCTATCTTGCCTGTCTATCTGTCTGTTTTACCTGTCTTTCTGACTGTCTGTCTGTCTATCTTCTATCTTAACTATAATGATGATTATAGTTATTGTTAATGATTTAGTGTTATAGTTATCGTTAATGATTAGCATTCTTGTTATTATTATATTTAACATTAATTATTAACATTATGCATTATAATATTTATGGTTATATAGTTATTGTTAATGATCATCATTATAGTTATCATTATTGATTATTATTAAGTTGGCTTGAGAAAGCCAACTTACTGAAATGCTATTTAAACTTCTTATTATTCTTCTGATCCTAAATTATCAACTGTATCTCCTCCTAGAGCTTTAACTCTACAGACTCCAAACTCAGCCCAGCTCTTCAGACTGATCTGACCGAGTGTGCTATATCTTTTCTAACTGATCGGACTTATGGTTTTCTTAAAGATGAATATTAAAAATCATAAAAATCCCATAGACTTAAATTGAAAAATCTCTGCTCACCTGAACATTCCGACAAACTCAACTGTCAAAATTCTAATCTAAACACACTGAAGCCCATTAGACTCAATCAGACTTGCCTTTTATGTACTATTTCTAACCCATTCAAACTCATTCAAACTCATCTATCTAATATTTCTCTATCTATCTATCATCTGACTATTTCTATCTATCTATCATCTGACAATTTCTATCTATCTATCTATCTGATTATTTCTTTCTATCTGTCTATCTATCTATCTATCTGATTATTTATTTCTATCTATCTATCATCTGACTATTTCTATCTATCTGTCTATCTAATCTGACCATTTCTATCAATCTATCTATCTATCATCTATCTATCTATCTATCTATCTATCTATCTGTCTGTCTGTCTGTCTGTCTG